GTAGGGAATATGAATAAGTACCCTAATGTGCAGGAATAAAGTAACATAAGCTGTATAAATGCACATCAGGAGGAAAAACCCTTATCTACTCCTTCCTGGCATGCCTTCCTTTCAAGCTTCTCCTTTTGGTTTCTTTTCCCCTGTTCTCTTTTGGTACTGAATTTATTCCTTACTTTTTTTGTGTGGGGATGGGTGTGTTTAGAATAGGTTTCACTATCCCTCCGTGATATCAAGCAAAAAGAAGGTAAATATGACTGTCACTAAATCTCCCACTTCCCAAAGGGCACCCCATCCAGATGAGGAATTCTATCATGAAGCTCTTTGAAGTATCTTGAATGCTGGCAACCTAACCAAACAGGATAGAGGCCCACAAGACAGAAATGTATGCAAAGCAGCATGGCTGTGGCTGCCGGAATATTCGCAGCAGCTAACAGATTAACCTGTCATAGAGCAACCTGACAAATCCAGGGCTGGCAGATGCAGAGATGCAAATATGCCCTAAATATAACTGCAAATTCTAACCAAAGAACAGACTGTCTTATGTGTATCTTCTATGTGCCTAGGAGAAATGAGCATTTTTAAGCAGGATGGGCTAACATTATTTTCCTCGTAAAAATTAAAGATTGAGAAATCAAACTATATGATGACATAAAATTTATATCTAAATGCTACACAAATGAATGTGGGCTCATCTTTCCTGTACTTCTATTCTGAGAACCCAAATATTAAATTTTCAGATCCCATTAATCCTGATTATACCTACCGAAAATGAAGTGAGACTCTTATGAAGAAAAAGGATGCTGGGAGCTAACTGCAGGAGTAAGAGATCATTTAAGAAATGACTTTGGGCAATGTATAATCTCCAGGCATTTGAAATTCTAAAGTTCACTAAGGAGATGAGAGAACTATTTTTTAGTGATCTTGAGAGATGATTAGTTTCTCTTGCCATCCTACGCATCTGACTTTCCAAAACTCACCGACTCCCCTGATGTAAACATCGAACCTCACACAGATCACAGGGTCTACCAGTGTCTACAAACTCAGATGTATTTCTTGGACTCAGATCTTCACTTCCAACTACTGACGAGGCATCTTCATGTTAACTATGACACATCACACGCAATATGTTACACACACACACACACACACACACACACACACACATACACACACACAAAACAACTCTAGGTTTCTCCAGCCCTAATTCTTCCTCCTGTGTTTCTAGCTCAGGAAATGTTCAAAAGTTCTCCCATGTTCTCAAGTTCAAAGTCTTGGACTCCTCCTCTGCCTCCATCCTATCCTTGAACCAAATTTGATTCCTCCCTATTGAGTGAGCTATCCTAAATAAAGTCCTAAACTAATGAAACAACCTGAAATATCCTTGCCTCTGTTATTTATATGTGCTTATATTTCCAATAAAATGTTGCAAGGGTTACCTTCCTTCATGTTTTTTCTCCTGCTTAAAAAATACTAGTGCCCTCCATCCCTTACATACAGAATATGAACCTAAACTTCTTACTCCAAGAGTGTTTGGCTCTCGCCTGTATCCAGCTATTACTTCTTCCCTCGCACCGCCCGCACTCTCCATCCTGAAAACTTCCTGAGACACTCCTGCCTTTGCTTATGCTGGCCCCCTCTGCCTGGACGCCCTCCCCGCTGTGATATCACTCTCTGAACTTCTATTCATCCTTCCATGTCACCTTATCAAGAGCTTTCTCTGATTGAAATGTACTCCCGCTTCTCCCATCACTCTGCCCCCTTACCCCACTTAATGTTTCTTCGTAGCACTTATACTGCAGAGCTCTTTAGTTGTTTAGTGCCTGTGTCCCAGTTAGAGAATATAAACTTCTAAAAGGAGAGTCAAACACCTATGTGTGTCTCAATAATATTTGATGAATAAATTGAATATAATCCTTCAAGTGCCATTGAATTTCATGTTTTACTGAAAAGAAACAGCTTTGCCCTCTCAGAGCAAGAGCACCATTCAGCCCTGGTTGAATAGCTCAGTTGGTTAGAGCATCGTCCAATATGCCCAGGTAGTGAATTTGATCTCTGGTCAGGGCACATACAAGAATTAACCAGTCCTATATAATAAAAGCCTAATATGCAAATCGTCTGAACAGTGGAATGATGGGTTGCTATTAAGCACACTGATTACCAGGGGGCAGATGCTCAATGTAAGGGCTGCTCCCTGGTGGTCAGTGCACTCCTACAGGGAGAGCACTGCTCAGCCAGAAGCTGGACTCAGGGCTGGCGAGCGCAGCAGCGGTGGTGGGAAACTCTCCTGACTCTGCAGCAGTGCTAAGGATGTTCGACTGACAACTAAGGCCCGATCCCCGAGGCTAAGCCTTCAGTGGGACATCCCCTGAGGGTTCCAAGACTGCAAAAGGGTGCATGTTGGACTGAGAGGACCCCCCCCCTACCTCAGTGCAAGAATTTCATGCACTGGGCCTCTAGTGAATGTATTAATAAGTGGAATAACAAATTGATGTTTCTCTCTCGCTTACTCCCTCTTTCTCTAAAAAAATAAAGGTATTTCTAAAAAACAAAAACAAAAAAACAGTCCATCTTGTATTATCTGTATATATATATATATTTTTTTTTTTCAACCTCACTAGACTGAAAGGACTGTGGTTTACTCATATTTTTATCTCGTTTAGTCCAGAATGAAAACTCAATGAATGTATACTAATTGAGCTAAATTTAGTGTGACTAAAGATCACCAAACAATTCAAGCCTTTGCCAGTCACTGAAACAGATTAACTTCCTTATGGCAACAATAGAATAAATGAGAATAATTAGAACTTCAAATGATCTTCCGTTTGAGCATCTAGAAATCTAGTAGAGAAATTCTTGACTCAGAGAAATCCTGTAATAACTAGGATTTGTCCTTGGAACCACCACTTGTTAGATTTAACACTCTCCATATTGTTTTATTTTCTTTCTACTACACTGGCTGAGTCTGTTCTGAGATCCTTTGTGAGTCCTCCCACAAAGGTCCCCTCATCCAGGTCACAGTAAATTTCAGAGTAATGTAAAATATTGAGGTGATATAAATGCTCTTATAAGATTCTTTCAGGCTTTTATTTTATTTTATTTTAAAAAAATATGTTCCTAGCCAAAACTGGTTTGGCTCAGTGGTAGAGTGTCGGTCTGTGGACTGAAAGGTCCTAGGTTCGATTCCGGTCAAGGTCATGTACCTGGGTTGCGGGCACATCCCCAGTAGGGGGTGTGCAAGAGGCAGCTGGTCAATGTTTCTCTCTCATCGACGTTTCTAGCTCTTTATCTCTCTCCCTTCCTCTCTGTAAAAAAATCAATAAAATATATTTTTAAAAAATATGTTCCTATTGTTTCAGAGAGAGAAAGGTAGAAAGAGAGAGTTATTCTCTCAATAATAAGAGAGAATCATCCATCGGTGGCCTCCTGCACACACCTTCCTGTGGCTTTTAAGGAGTAAAATGACTTTCTTTCTGTTTCTTTTTGTTTTGTTTTTTATTAGGTTTCTTTCATGTTGAAAATTTTATATTAGATTAAAACTTGCTTTTGTTTTAAAGCCAAGCATTCAATGGGACGCCATGTGATTGGCACATAATGTAAAACTGCAAAAAGTGAAAGGTAAAGATTTTGTCCAGCAGATGATTTGAACAGGGCTTAAGAGTCTTCAGTGTAACAAATATTTTTCTAAAGACCCAAGTTGTTTTCCAAAAGAATGCTAAGGCTTTGATCCTACAATGACACAAATAACTTTATGTGTATGCCCTTATTTATTTATTTATTTATGCACTCAACAGACATTTATGAATGCCAACTACATACAAAGCACACAATGGTAGACTAAAATGTCATAAAACATGGTCTCTCTCCTCAGCGAGATTATATTCCCCTATCAACTGTTTTCTTATTCACAGCAAGTGAGTTTATATGGAACATCTTTATTTCCTTTCTTAAGATTATTAACTATTAATGTTTTTAAAACTCTGATGCTATAGAGAACTAATATTAACCAAAAGACCACTGTACTCTCGGATGTGAGTGATTGTAAAAATCCTTCCCCCACCAAAATTCTATGACTCAATGCATGTTGAACCCTCTAATAGAGATGAATAGGAAGATGATTTTGCAAGCCATTACGAAATTGTATACAGAAACAGTATTGTTTGGCAATACCAGGCAGAAGTGGGATTTGTTATCTGACATCTTCATAAATATTGATGCTTTTAACTTTGTTTTGTGAAGACACCTTTCATGGTAAGCAGATTTAAAAATCCTGAGTGTCTTCAGTACTAAAAATCAAAGGGTTCAATACTCAAGATAAATTGCTTGTTGTTCACACTGTCTACACCAATTCTTGAACTTGTATTTATAACAAAAAATTACACTCCCTTAAATCAAAAATCAATCTCATTCTGTATAAAAGTTATACCTAAATTTAAAAAATAGTTCATTCAGTCTACGGCCATACCACCCTGAACGCGCCTGATCTCGGAAGCTAAAAAATAGTTCATTCAAACTATATTTTTATAAAATTCTATTAAATCAACTGATATTCAATCAAATCTTTATTAATGTTATATTAATATATTGCTCATAGAAGTGAAAAGTTTGGGGGAGAAAATGGGGTAAAATCCTTGACCTTAAATATAATTCATACTAGAGACCTGGTACACAAATTCATGCACAGTTGGGGCCCGGCCAGCCCACCCAGATTGGGAGTAGAAGGGCCAATTGGGGCTGGCTGTGGGGAGGGCTTGGGTGGTTGGCCAGCCAGCCCCTAGTTGAATTCCCGGTCAAGGTCAAGGGGACAATTATTATCCTTTTATTATCCTTTTATTGAGTAGGATTTTTCTGTTTTTAAACACAACATTTCTTTAAACTATAACGTACTTACTGGTAAGTTTAAACTTCAAGGTATAGTCTGCAAGTACTGTCAGCTAGTAAACAAATATTTTCTGGGTAGAAGAAGTCTGCCACTATATACTTATCCCTAAGAGAGTGAATACCTTGGGCAAACCTGTTGTTCCAGATGTGTAAAGAATATATAATGGATGTTCTGAAAGAACAGGAACACAATCATGTGACTGTGCTTTTGCCATCTCTTCATCCCAATCAAGGTCACGACCTGGAGCCAAAGGAACTGTCTCCTAGGAAGCAAAAATTTAGGAACAAGCATTGAACAAAGATTAAAATAAGAGAAGAATGTTAGTCTGAGCATCTGACTTACAATTTAGGTTGTCTATATAGCACTAAATACCATATTTATAAATATCTCAGATAATTGTTCATAAAAGTCCAGCAGTTGACATTGGCTTCGAATCTGTGGCTAACCTTAAGAAACTCAATGTGATACAGTCATGTTTTCATCAACAAAGCTTAACTGAGTTTCATGTTTTCATAAATGTATTTTCATTACTAACTTTATAAACTAATTTTTATTTTTTATAACCAATTTATTTTCCTTTGGAACTATCATTTTTACAATCAAATGTCAACTAACCCATTAAGATTTATTTTTATACAAGGGTCATTTAGGAATAATATTGTGGCTATCTGTCAAAATGGGAGTATATTAAATCATTTTCAAGGGTAGGGGGGAAATCTGCTTTTGCTTTTACAAGAAGAAAAATTGGTTTTGAAAATTAATGAGGGTATGTGACATATCTAAAATGCTATCAGGTCATTGATTCACATAGTAGAAATGTTTTTATTTTTGTTCTTACAACCAAGCTCTGTTGTAAACTTTATGATAATAGAGTCATGAGTTAGACCCATATACCTTAAAAGAATGTAGACAGACCTCTTTACAACTTGTGCTAGTGAAATAGGCTAGATAGGTAAAGAGAAAGGAAGTGGGTAATGGAAAAATTATCCTCATGGAGAGTTACATCTATTTAAGTAGATTTAAGACCCAGTACACGTCAAGTTATTTTCTGAAATGATAACTAAACTCAAGATCAGGAAGCTTACAGTTGGTAAATTTGTTAATATAGGCACAAGGCAAGGCTATGAATTCCTCGGTGAAAGTTAGTAAGAATATAGGTAGTCATCATTCATCAAGGTGAGGCTAAACCCAGAAACTATGGGAGATTTAGAAAAGCCAGCCATTTTTTGTTTTGGGGGGTTCCTTAGTGTTGTTCAATTGGTCTTATTTTTAAATGCAAACATTTACAAATTAACACTGCAATATAACATTGCAATTGCAATGCCTATATGAATAAACACACTGATAATAAACAATTTGAACTGAAGGTGAAGTTTTAGGCATCTCCAGTTTCATTTTGAAAAATCCCAGTATACCACTTACATAAGTGAAAATAATTAAGTGACCAAATCATATATTTTTCATTTGTTTTTATTCATCAGAAAAACATAACTAATTTTAAATTATCAAGCCTTTGACATCATATTATAGAACTTTAAAAAAGATCACAATGCACAATTAAAAATGCCAACTGAGTCATCATAAAAATAATTATAAATCAAGTGAAATGATGACTTGAATGAGAGGTTATTTTTCAGGCTCAGAAACACAGGCATGTGTGTAAAACAGAAGTGATAAAAAGAAGAGGAAAAATTCACAGTTTTTACATATATACATTTACCTCTATACACAAGTCTTTCTTAGTTGTTAATATTCTTAAAAGGCAATAATTGGGGCAAGAGTAGAACTGACTGATAGGATATTCTTTTGATTCGATTGCCTGAGGCTTAGGAGGGTCAGCCAGATTTTTATCTCCTCTGGCAAAAAGCAAATCTGGTTAATGAAAGATTCCACTAAGCTTCAATTTGTGTCTCTCTTAAGCCAAAGTAAGGTCAGTCCATTGGGCTTAATTACTGCCTGTACAGCAGTTCTAAAATGAAGAATAAGACACACCCAAAGCCTTCATCTAAAATAAAGCTATGTCAAAATAGAAGGAAGGTCTTTAAAAAAAAAAAAGGAAGAGGAAGAGAAATGGATGTTATGTAAGGGAGAGGTAGATGTATGGGAGAGGTGGAGGAAGAATGTGTCTCAGAGGGTTCTCATTAAGAGGAAAGATAAGAGATTTGCACTAGAAAAATCTTACTAGGAAACATTCATATCTATCACTGGTGTCTTATAAAATAAAATAAATATGTTGGTTAAAAATTATTTAACTAGAATTCAAAACTTGACTCCACCACCTTACTAGGTATGACTCTGGGCTATGATTTCTCCATGACTCACTTGCTTCATCTGCAAAATGAGGCTAGTAATAGCATTTATTTTATGGGTTCATGAGAATTAAATAAGAAGTATTTGAAAGTACTCAGCATCAGACCTGGCATAAGTTCTTTATAAATTCTACATGAATTCATACATGTGTGAATAGCACACACATAGCCACATAAATGCTTGTGTGGGTGTGTGTGTGTTCCTTCCCTTCTCTAACCTTCTCTCACTCAAAGACTTCTTTATTGCTGACATTGCATTCCCTGATTTAAGAGCAACAAACCTTTTTTAAAAATATGCTGGAGGTCATCTGAAAAAAACTTAAAATTTTTCTTTGACACAGTAAGAATATTAAAATCGTTGAGTGTAACAGTTCATGAGCCACAGATAACTGGTAAAACTTTACACATGAATTTAATGTGGTGAAGAGAATTGCTAGGTGGTAACCAAAATGACATAATTTTTACTGCTCTCTGTTCTTATAGCTTATCATTTAAGCATTTTTTTGCAGATAAGCTCTCAAGAGTTCCACAAAATTATACATGATCATTTACACTCTGGTAATTTTTCTTATGCAAAAAAAATTTAATCTGCTAGAAATCCAAGTTGGTCCTACTATAAATATCTGAATATGTGCTTGAATGCAAAAAGAAGGTCCAATGTACTAAGAAAAGCAATTGTAATATATATTCATTGATGTATTATACTGCTTTTTTTCCCTTCATGGATCACAGAGTAAGGTATCTGTTTAGAATATTCAAATATTGTTTTCCTAAATATAATTTTTACTTAAGGGCTAAAAACCTTTCTAAATTTTTTAAAAAAAAATAACTTACATACATAATAATCATACCTTTCCACAAGGCAAGATCGCTTAGGGAGTAAGCAGGCAATCAGAGTGCATGTGTTCAGGTCATGACCCTGACACTAGCTGGGTAAGTTTCCCTCTCTTCTTCCAATTCCTTTTCTTTAAAATAAGAATAATGCTATCACCTAGGTCACAGTTACCCAGAGGGTTTTTAAAATGATTCACTAGTAGAATGTCTTAAAAATCATATGGTGGGCAGTCAGTAAGTGTTACTAGCACTATTATTATGGCAATAATTTATACTAATAAATGATATCCCAAAAGACCCGTGGTCGGCAAACTGCAGCTCGAGAGCCACATACTGCTCTTTGGCCCCTTGAGTGTGGCTCTTCCACAAAATACCACGGCCTGGGAGAGTCTATTTTGAAGAAGTGGCATTAGAAGAAGTTTATGTTTAAAATATTTGGATCTCAAAAGAAATTTCAATCGTTGTACTGTTGATATTTGGCTCTGTTGACTAATGAGTTTGCCGACCACTGCAATAAACTATACAGATAATCAACTCATTAATAATATAGCTATTTCTGTGTTTTCATCTTTTTATTTTAAGCTAGTCTGTTCTTTTATAAAGAAAGTATCACTCATAACTAATATCTTTTTTTGTGTACCAAAAATAGAAAGCATATTCAGGAAGTATATTTAATAGTTCATAAATTAAGGGTTTGTGTTAAATGGTCAAAACAAGAATCATCCTTAGCACAAATTCAATATTCAGATTACCATATTTGGACGATTATAAATGAGAACTTTATCTGGTTTGTGTTGTCCAATTCTCAGCGCTTCTTCTAGAAGTGGCATGTATTCTACCTTCCTTCCAGGTTCAATGCCAAAAGATGCTGTAACCACCACCTTGGGCTACAATTAAAAATAAAAATAAAAAATGAGAAAGCTTAACAATCCTATTTAAGGTGATCACAGTATTTCACGTGCAGACAAGCAGTTTAGCATTTTTAAAGAAATGCCTGAATAATTTTGTTCTCTATTGACTAAATAAATAACCTAAAAACCAATAAGCCCTTTTTAAATGTTATAAACCTAATCACTTCCACATAAATCTCACTTACCAGTTAAAATTACATGTCAACATGCTTTCAGCTACTAAGAAGGAGCTGCAAAAACTGCTTTCTGAAGAAATCATTAGGCCAGCGGATTTGCCATGAACCAGTAAAATGAACCAAGGACCCCCTCACTGGCAGAGGCCCCGTAACAGTTGGCTGTGCTATAGTTGAAGCATTTTCTTAGGTGGAGGGGGCCGGGAGGGGGGGGGGGGGAGCCCAGGTGCTCTCAGGAAGTATTTTTAACTGGTTTTGTTTTGTTTTATTTTGTTTTGTTTTTATGTAAGCATCTCTGCTTAAATGCCTAGAGACCACAGAAGGAAGGAACCCAAATCTCTAATAATTCTTTTATGATTCTTTTTTCATTCTAAATACATAGTTATTTCCTATAAATATTTGTAATTTTTTCATAGTTTTTTTTCTTAAAAGAGCCTGTAAGTGATTTAGGCTTCAAATCCCTCAAAGCCTGGACCTGCCTCTGTCACTGAGACACACTCAACACTTTTCTTCACTTGACAACTAGTTATTGAAGGTGTACACAGACTGAGCCAAAAAGCACTCCTGGAAGAGGCAGAAGTTAGGTTAATCTCCCTCCCTCAGTGCGCTCTGGGTAAGCCTCAGATGTCCCCCATATCAGTGTTCCTTCATCCCCACCACAGCACAGGAAGCTCTCCCAAACCACATGTGGGTCCCTTTCACCTCCACGTTTGCTACCTCTGGCACCATGCTTACCATACCATATGCTCTGAATAAGTATTTGTGGAGCTGAACCAAAATTCTCCTTAATTTGCAAAAACAAACACATCATTATTCTTTTATATACACTATTTCTTCACCAAGAAATCCAAAGCAAATAGATAATAAATTATTCAGGAGGCAGATAATCAATCGGAGATAGTGCATCTATCCCTGAATTCTAATTTCTGGTTACAACACATTTCATCTAGAGAAGGTTGATATTATGCCAAATATATGCATATACAGTACTTTCTGCTTCTTGAATATCATTTAATATTCACAGAGCTGAGGCTCCGTGCAGTTGCATAGCTTGCCCCAGGTTATAAGTGGTGAAATGAGGGAGAGGCCATTCTGTCTGATTACAGAAATATCTCTTTTGCCTCGATCAAGCTGCCTTTTAAAAGGACAAAAAAAAAAAAAAAAAAAAGGTTAGTCTTATTTCCTTTTATCATATTTTAAAGGTCAGACATTTGACTATAATTCATATTTTAATATCTTTAATACTTACAAAAATAACTCTAGATAACATTCCCAAAGATTAAAATTCTGAATAAATAAAAATTACATATCAAATTAAAAATATCTAGAATATATAAAAACTTGAATAATTTAATAATGTCAAAATTACAAAAATAATCCTTTTTCACATTTCTATTAGTCTTCTATTGGAGGTTTTGAGGCAGGATAGTAAGAAACTATGAAAATTCCTTGGTAAGTGGAATGGGGAAAAGGAGACAAATAGCTGAACTGGCCAAGCAATTTCCAGCCAGATAATAAATTGCAAAGGCAGACTTCCCTCAGTCCTGGTCCCTCTTTAGTGACATTCTTTGAAGGTGAAACTGACCAGAGACTGACTCTGATACACTCATTTTGATGAATCAGCATATTAAAGGACCCTCCCTGGAAAGCTGATGAGTCTATTGAGATCCTCACTTGAGAGCTCCCTAAAATTCCAGTCTTTAGAAAGTAGATTAAAAAAACTTTAAAACAAAGGACCCAGTGGGCATTTGCTCTCTTGAACATGGCTGCGCCTTCTTTCTCCAGGCTTGTATCTTTGCTTTCCTTCTCCTAAGCGATAAGGGCTCCCCAGAGACTTGCAAGCAGGGAAGTAGTGAGTAGTGGCAGCTTATCCAGGGCTAATCCCCTGAACCTATCTCCAAGGAACCTCCCTTTTGCCTCTGTTACTTGTTTCCTGAGGCCACACAGCCCAGCTGGCTCACTTCCTCTGTGACTCTTTCTAAAAGGCCAACACATCTCTCTGAGCAGCCCGCTCTAATCTCTTCCAGAATACTTTGCTTTGCATGCTAAATAAACTTCCTCTGCACTAGGATTTTAAATTCTTTCTTTGCCAAACTCAAGAACTGAGAGCTACTAACAGTTTTATTTAGTCTTGACTGACTTATTACAATATATTTTTCCATCTTCTGTTTAAAATATAGCTTTTTCTTCAGCCTATTTATTTGAAAATCATGATATCAAAATCATCTCTGATTTCAACTAATACTTGTATCAAAATATCCCAGCTATACATCTCTATTTCCATCTTATTGATTTTAATTTGACATGATTAAAAGTCTTGCCCATAAAATAATGCCCTTATTGCATAAACTTCTTAAAATGGTGTGTGTGTGTGTGTGTGTGTGTGTGTGTTAGATAACAACTCCACTGGTATAGCATATATTTTATAAATACTTATTTTTTATATATCTCAGTTTCCTCACATGATATGAAATTTCACAAGAAGGAAAGAATACATCTCATACCTTTATCCAAATGGTGTTTAGACTTCTGCAGGTAAAAACCAGAGAAGTCCCCACTGCCCACTGATCTGCAGGTCAATGATTGACTGATATTTCCCTCTAGATTTCCCTTCAGAAGCACTAACTCAACATGCTTGAGAGAGAGAGAGAGAGAGAGAGAGAGAGAGAGAGAGAGAGAGAGAAACCCAGCCAGTTAATCCACAAACCAGCTTCTAGTTCTAATAAGTGATCTATTCCAAATGAAGTCAGACATGCAAACTTCACCGTATGCCTGGCACTCAGGGGACCTTCAATATACAGAGTATCCCAAAAGTGTATACATACTTTGAATAATTATAAAGGCAGTAGCTATTAAAAGACATTTAATTTTCAAAGTAGAATTTACAAACATTGTGTGTATACATTAGTTTCCTTCCCTGTTAAGGAGTGTCTCATCTTGGGCTTTTAAAACTCTAAGGTAAATCATCTTTTACTCTTTATTTTAAAAAATAGTTTATTGGCTTTTAGAGAGAGAAAGGGAGAGGGAGCGAGTGAAACATTTATATGAGTGAAACAACAATCTGCTCTCTCCCACACACTCCACATTGGAGATTGAGCCCAAAACCTTGACCAAGAATGGAACTGACAATCTCCTGGTCCATGGGGCAATGCCCAAGCACATGAGCCAGGACAATCATCTCTTACTCGTATAACAAACAACTTTCCTTTCTTCAGCTCCCCACTGCTAGTACTCTCCTGTACATCACCCACAGTTTCACAAACAGACCACCTACCGAAGGTTCTTGTTCTAGCCTCTCCCCTCTGTCCCACTCATCATATGGAAAGACTTGCCTCCTCTTAACATTGCTTAAAACTGGACACGTGATTGCTCAAAACCTCTGATTAAACAAGGTCTACAGGATCCAGTTCAAACAGAAACTGACTTTGCAAGGTCACCTTCTGTCCCTCTTCAGTCACACTGGTCTATTCACTAGCCTCCAAATCAAGTTTACCCTTTCTCATCTCTAATGCTAGACTTATATTGTTTTTCTCTCCTTTTGGATCCCATGAGGTCATTCTCTTCAACTAGCTAAATTTTAGCCAAGATCTAAGTACAATCTCACTTCCTTTAACCACCCAAATAAAAGAAATCTCACTTCTTTGACCATCCAACTAAAAGAAATCTCACTTCTTTGACCATCCAACTAAAATAAATTAGAGGTCTGCAAACTATGGTTGAAAGCCACACCTTGCCCAATGCTATGAGTTTTTCTATGTAGCATTTAAGACTGCTTTTGTGCTATGACCGAATAGTTGCAACAGAAACCATGTAACCCAGGTGCTTAAAATGTTTACTCTCTGTAACATACAAAAATATTTTCTAATCAATGCTCTAAATTAAATAAATAATAACATCTAACTTTATTTTATGAGTCCTCTATGTCAGGTACCCTTCTCAAGTTTATTTAGCATCCAATTTAAACTTGCAACCCTGCTCCTTACTGACACCCCCTCTTATCCTCTGTGCTACCTCACCATTTCTGGAAGCATATAGAGTACAAAACTAGTCATGTGAACCCACTATTTGATAAGAATCATTTACTATCCTGTTCCAAGGATAGTGCCAAACACATAGTGGAAGCTTACTACATATATGTTGAATAAATAAATTTTACTTGTCTTATATCCTACTCAAATATACGTCAGGTGAACTTATATTTTATATTCCTCACTGCACCTAGCAAGGTGCCTTTCATGTACTACTGATGCAAAAATAAATGTCTGATTAACAGATATATGCCAAAGAAACAGTAAACTTTAAGTATCCTCTATTAAAGGAGGATCTAATAAGTACAGATCACTCTTGGATGATTCATCCACAGATATGGCTGTATTGTACATACTACTGCTTGATTTCCCCAAAGAAAGCACTTACCCTTGCATGATCAATGCGGGTACTCAGTTCTTTGGATGCAAATCCCCCAAATATAAGGCTGTGGATGGCTCCTATCCGGGCGCATGCCAGCATGGTATAGATTGCCTGAGGGATCATGGGCATGTAGATGACCACAGTGTCACCTTTCTGGACACCATGCTTGACCAAAACACCAGCCAGCTTAGAGACCTGTAACAAAATCATTAGATGAGCAAAGTGTTTTCTGTATTCTTTCACTAAAAAATTAAGTAGGTAACACAAGAAGATGAGCGCCACTTTGGTAGTGAATTAAAGAAGCCTGAGACCCATATTTGATGAAGATGATGATGATGGTTTGGATAGTGACAATAAAAACAGATATTATGACAAATGACTACAAACAGATTACTGTTATCAGACTATATGAACTTCATGGCTTAAATGGCTTAGTTATTCATATAACAACATGTTTTCTAAGCAACTATTACATATCATATGTTGTATGCAGAGTTGAGAAAACAATATTGAAAAGCAAAGACAGACTTGTTCCGGTGGAGTTTTTATTCTAAAGGTAAATCAGTCACATGAATGGAAAATTAAAATGATTATAGATTTAGATATATGTTGGGTTAACTATTGAAGAAGGCAAGTATGCATTATGAAAGAAAACAAATCACTTATACACTAATAAAGTAAAAAGACAAAGTATATTATTATTTCTGTTTTACAGATAAGGTAACTGAGGCTCAGAGATAATAAATAGCTAATCAGAGGTGAGAGAGCTAAAAACTGCTGTAGCCAAGATACCATCACAGTTTTTTTGACTTCATGCTCTCTGCCTAAGTCAATTATTTTTCTTCATAGTTTTTATGCTAATTACCTATAAAAAGTGACTGCCCTCTATACTGAGACCAAATATACAAATGTCTTTATTCTCTTAACATGTGTTTTTGCAATTTCTAGTAATAAAAACAAAATAGATCATAAGTCCATACATGATATAATTTATTGCAAAAAACCTTTCCCTGGGCAATTACCTCCTGTGGGAGGTATGCCCAGACCTAAGTGAATAAGACATTCACCCTTCCTTCATTTTAAAAATATATATTGAGTATCTGTATATGCCAGACACTGTTTTTTGAAACATCAGTAAACAAAATCATTTCAAGGTCTCTATCCCAAGAGTGCTTATATTTTAGCAAAAGAAATATCTTACTATATATTATAATAAAGAGGTAATATGCAAATTGACCATCACGCCCTCACAAGACAGCTGCCTAGGACCAGGCTGACAGGGCAGGGGAGTTAGTGAGGGATGACCAAATGACTAAATAAGCAGGCTGTGTGGGATGACCAAGATGGCAGGGGGGCAGTTAGGGGCAATCAGGCCAGCATGCAGAGGCAGTGAGGGGTGATCAGGCTGGCGTTGGTGGGGGGACAGTTAGTGGTGACCAGGCAGGCAGGCAGGTAAGTGATTAGGAGCCAGCAGTCCTTGATTGTGAGTGGGAGTCCGTATGCTGGTTTAGGACATTCCCCAGCAGTTGGATATCCCCCTCAGAGTCCCATATTGGAGAAAGTGCCAGCTGGGCTGAGGGGGATCTCCCCCACTTCTTGCATGAATTTTGTGCACTGGGCCTCTAGTTTATAATAAACATAAATAAATTATGCATTATGTTAAAGGTAATCAGTGCTATTGAGTAGGGGGAAGTAGAGCAAAGTATACAGGATTGGAAGTGCAGGGGGTATAATTTTTAGAACAGGCCTCACTTAGAAAGTGACATTTTAACCAAGACATGTGGCAGATTGAGAATAAGTGTGTATCTGTGAGTCTACTATTTCAGGCAGAGAGAATACCAGTACAAAGATGTCAGGGGGATCAGATGTTATGACAAAAGGGAACAGCAGGGAGACTAGAGGATCTGGAACAGGGGGGAAAAAAAAAAAAAAAGTAAAAATATGGTTGTAGATCAGGTCAGACAGCTAAAAGGGCCTGCAGGGATCTGGTGGGTGACTGGAAGGAATCTGTCTTGCCTTTAAATATGACTGTTCCAGATAATGAACAGAGAAGGCCTGAAAGAAGGAAGTAGGTCACATGGCTTTTTGAGGTTCCTTTCACTTCAATCTGCTGCTTTTATTTTCTGAAAAAGTTTTTTTTTTTTTCTTAATGTATTTTTATTGATTTCAGAGAGGGAGGGAGAGAGAGATAGAAACATCAATGATGAGAGAGAATCATTGATTGGCTGCTTCCTGCATACCCCCAACTGGAGACTGAGCCCGCAATCTGGGCATATGTCCTGACTGGGAATCGAACCAGTGACCTCTTGGTTCCTGGGTCGATGCTCGACTGAGCTACACCCGGCTGAGCTGAACAAGTTTAAAGGATCGGAATCCTGATCATTCTTAATTATTTTTCCTTTTGATTCACTTCCTCTGTTCAAATGGGGAAAGATGTGGTCAAGATTAAGAACGTTGGTGAAAGAAAGTAACAACTATGTAAGCATCTTATTCTCCCCTACATTGCAAACTATCTAAATTCAGTGCTACTTTTTAAGAACTCAAAGCTGTTCCATAGAAAGTTACAAGAAGGACACATGAAAATAACATAAATTATGCACTTAAATTCTATGCGGAGTTCAGAACCAAGGTAAACACTGAAAAGTCATAGCCAAACATCTGTGTGCAATCTCTGCAGAGTAGCCCTGCTCCGTGGTGACGTTACTGCGCTTCCCTCTTAAGGTACAGCAGCGGGAGAGACCAACAAGATGAGCTTGTCCTATTTACAGCTATAACCTCGGCATCTCCATAGTGTCTGTTGGTGAATAAAATAATATAAAATAAAATATAATATTCAACAAGACTCCATAATTCAGCAACTTTATGTTCCAGTTCCACCTCATGATGTTGTTGAAAGATGCCAAATTTTTCTTCTGTTCTCTAAACCAAGTAAAGTAAATAAATTCAAGACTGCCTTAGCCAGATTGGCTCAGTGAATAGCGCCTCTGCCCTGGGACTGAAGGGTCCCAGGTTTGATTCTGGTCAAAAGCATCTGCCTAGGTTGCAGGCTGAATCCCTGGCCCTGGTCCAGGCAGGGTTGGGAGACAACCAATTAATGTGTCTCTCACACTGATGTTTCTCTCTATGTCTCTCCCTCTTCCTTCTATTCTCTCTAGAAATCAATGGGGAAATAGCCTCAGGTGAGGATTAACAAAATAAACAAACAAGCAAACAAATAAATAAATAAATGAATAAATTTAAGACCTTTTTTGAAACAAAGGTTTAAAACTGGCCAAATGTTATTCCAAAATACATGTGAGTCAACATGTTAAAAAATTAGACAGTTATATATACAAATCCAGCTTTCTAAAGTTTCTCTAGAGAAACTGGAAGGTCTAACGGCAATGGGTTCCTGTTCTTGAATGACAACGATCAATTGAACCTGTGATCACCTAGCTGCTCAGTGTGCCATTCCCTGGATCTACTTATCAAGGAGCTTGCATTTTTCTTTCCATTCTGAATTTAAAATGTATTTTCTACTCCTGTTTATGTTATGTGCTTACACCATACTTTCATAACCACAGAATAAGATACATGCCAATAATTGATTTTTCTCCCACCCACTTCTTCCATTTATGTTATCTGCTTAGCTCATGTAGACATGAGTTGTTTGTTAATCACTGCCCAGAAGTCAGTTGTCAAATTAGGCTGCACCAGATCTCTATAACCGCTAGAGGGCGGTCATTTGGCCTAGTTTACTAGTACCTTGCTTCTTGCGTTTTGATATTTTGCTAACCACATCACAGATGCCCTAAAGACAAGTTTCATATAATCAATAGAGAAATGTTATTTTGTAGTTCTTGCTAGGGATAAATGTCACTCCAGTAAAATTATCTATTGTAACTTTTAAATTTAAAACATATATGTATATATATGAGAAAATGAATGGGAAAATATGTTTCTGGTGAGACTTCTGGTAAATAGGCTTATGAAAAATAAAACACTAGCTCACAGCAAGAAAAAAATAAATGGAAATTGATTTAATATTAAAATATTTAATATTTCATTAAAATATTTCTTATGAATATTAAATCAAAAGTTGGTTAATGTGAGCCCCAGAGCAAAATATTCAATAGTCATGTCTCAGATGCAAACAAAATCATTTTGAAGGTAAGTGTAGACTACAATGAGGGATACGAGGGAAAAATCTAGAAATCCTAGTCACTCAAGAGTTGACAATAACTTAAATAAAGTGCTATGAAATTTTAACACAAAGGGCAATTTGATGATTGCAATTTCAGGGTTCATCTTGTTTTTATTGACTTTTAAATTAAAAAATTATCAAGAGAAAAAAAATGCATATCATTTTTATTGAATGGTATCTATATTCTTATCTTACCATAAATGACTCAGTATAGACATAATTTTTTATTATTTTTCCAAAGGTAAAATACGTTTACATATATCTTGTATAGCATATTGTTTTTCAACTGAGGAAAAAGTTAAATCATCTGCAATTCATCCTATCCATATTCATCTTTGCACCTTCTTAAAAATGTGTTTTAATTTATCAACAACTTAATATCAGGCACACACCACTAAATTTGTTTTTTATGCCAACATCGAAGACAATGCATATCCCTTGCAATTACGGCCAGGCCGTGCTCCTCTGCCATAATGAGGATAACAGCTGTGAAGGGAAGGCTGGAGACACAAAACACACGGATATATTCATTTATTAGATACAACATTGCTCACTTCTTTCCACTAAGAGTATATGAAGTATCCTGTCACTGATGCAATTCTGTGTATAATATCTGCTCTGTGTCTTATACGAAGTCAAGTCTGCAGATGCAAGAATAAGGAAGACATGGCCATTAAAGCAAATAAATTCAGAGTCTAGGAAAAAATAGTGGGCCACCTATTCAACCTGACAAACTCAGGAGAGGCCCGCATGGTGGCCTTGGAAACTCAGAGACTTGAAGTAACCAGACAGATGATCTGAAATTAAAATGTCCTACCTAAAAGCAAGTCAAATAGGTAATCAATCAAAATGGGTATTTCCCTATTTTGCCTTCTCCCACCTCCTTATCTATCCCCAGTGAATTTCACGTAGCCCTCCTTAGGCGGCCTCCTTTGATTCTAATGTATAAAGTAAGCAGTGAAACTGCCATTCCAGGGAACATTTTCTCAATCCCTTGACATCTTGTTTCATG